ACAAAATGATATCAGGAATTATTGAGATAAATCTATTTTTATATGGACTCCAAAAAGTAGCAAAAGTTAATAAATCTACTCAGAACAAAAAGGAAAAAGAAATTATTTAGCATATTTTGAAGGTAAAAAGACAAATTTAAAAAAAGAAATGAAGAAAGTATTTCTACCATTTCTTCCTCTTAAAATTAATTAAAAAGGTTTTTTAGGATTTCAGTCAATTTTGAAAGAGTCAACATTATTTAAAATATCAGTGACCCAAACAGCAACCAATGAGGTTGTACATTTTCACTTTGACTTAAAGATCACTATCATAGCAAGATTCCTGTATCTATTGTGACCACTAATCACTAATGAGTCTCCATCAAGTATTCATATCTTCAACACCTATTTGGTTTAATCCAATATCAACAGAAATTCAGTATTGATGGTACACATTAAACACTAACAAGTAACATCTAACCCAGTACCCTTGTTGTTCATTATGAAAGTTAGAAAGAGAAGCTGTCTCCTTCAACTTTTTACCTAGTAGACACCCTAAGACATTCTGCTAGATGTACTAAAAAAAAAAAAAAAAAAAAATGGTGTTTCCCTTGTTTGACATAATGTAATAAAGATATTAATCTTTGCAAAATTCAATTTATGTATGTATGCATTTAAAAATCACTTACACTTGAATTCTTTTTTGCCGAGCATAGCATTAAAATAAATATCATAGCTAGGATAGAAATGAATGCCACCTATTTTTGAAACCTTAAGAAAGTAGCACTGTATTCTGCACAAGATGAAGCAGCTATATACAAATAATTATAAAGTCTCATGCACCAATTAAGAAAGACAAATGAGCAAGTTTTTTTTTTAGTAATTTGTAAGATTTATGTATTTGCTCCAAGTTTTATTTCATCCAAATAGCCATAATGATGACCAAAAATGGTCCTGTATGAAATTAGAATTGGGTTATGTAATGACTATATGAAACCTATCTCTTCTGAACCCTTGTATTATGTTTAGATAACTATAAACTAAAAAGACCTAGTAAAAATAAAAATAAATTCCTTCTACATGCTAAGACATCACCAAAACATCAAATACTGAATTCACTATTTCAAATGTCTGCCATCCATTGGGTAGTAGTCAAAAATAAAATTATTTTGTGTTCATTTAAAAAAAAAAAAAAAAAAAAAAAAAAACAGTATTTAGAATTAACAAATCCCAAATGAAAACACGATTGATCAGAATGAACCAATTGGTTAACATTTCATATGTTAAGCAAATCAAAATTCAAGTTTAGAAGAAAAGAGATATCTAATTATTCAATGAATGCACAAAATTAAATAACGAGAATAATTGTAATTTTGTTTACTATGTAAACTGCATAGGATAACTTGATATTATGCATTAAGTCACATAACATGGGTTTTTTTTTTTTTTTTTTTAAATCTCTTGCATAAATTAATGTGACAACTGTTTAACAGAGTGTTTCTTCATCCTATATCTACAGACAGAAATAAGCAGGATGAAATAATTCTATACTTTGAAATAGCTTAGAAAAAAATAAAAATTCTTGTTAATTTTATAGTAACAGTTGAGAATAATTCTGTATTGAAAATGCAATTGATGGTAAACTTAATGACGGACAAAGATAAATATAAAATCCATCAGATTTTGAAGTCAGGCAGAATTTTTTAAAGATAAAAAAAAAAAAGTTCAGCTATCTTGTCACTTTTCTGTATATGAAAAAAATGAAAATATCAAGTTGACATAAAAAATTTGTAATATTTTAAACTATTTGAAAAACAAATAATAAAATGTTTATAAAATTATCAAACTTTCCCAAAACAAAAAGCACATAATATGAATGTTTTAGATTACAATGCTCATTTTCATTTTCTGTTCAAAGTTTTGATTGGTGTGTTTGCTGATTAGCAAAATGTGTCAACATGTAGGACATTTGACCAATTCTTCAGATTTACATGTATATAAATACATTTATAATTTCACAGACAATAAACATTTCAACATAATTGAGGTGATTTTTAAAATTATTACCAAAATCTTCAAGAAGTTTATCACATGATTTAAAAAAAGATATCAGGGGCAAAGATTCTTATTATTCAGATTAAGTTATGTAGAATTTTAAAAAAACACAAATTACTTTACTAGCATAATACTAAAAAAAAAAAAAAAAAAAAACTAATGAAATTATTTACATACAGATCAACACTTATACGTAGGTTTATATAATCTCTTTATTTTGGTGGAATGTAAAAATTTGCTTTTTTTTTTCTAAAACATAACAAAATTGCTAAGTTCTTTGAATGAAATACCATAACTTGTCAGGGGAATCTCTTAGAGATTTAACATCTTCATTACAGTCACCAAGTGCAACATTACAGCTGGGATGATCCTAATCACAACAACCAAATGTAACGCTTCACATGACAGATTGCTTATGTTCCAGTCTTGGCCCACTGAAATTCTAGACAGGAGACTCTTCCATCCATACTATTTAGAAGATCGGAAAAGTCTAAAGCTAAAGATTTAAATGTCACAAGCCTGAAACGCCAAAATGTCACAACTAAAGTTGAAGAATTCCTGAAATTTGTCATTAGTCTAAGAGATTGATCAAAGACCAGAATACCTATAAGATATTCTAAGAAGTGTTTTAACAGAGGATGGAAAATGTGACAGAAAAATCCAAAGACACATTGGGATAGCAAAAAATGCTTTCCAAAAGCTAAGCAAAGTATTAATAAAGAGGAAAATCTCTTTAGAAACAAAGAAAAGAGTACTTAACTGTTGTATCACATCAGTCCTCCTATATGGCAGTGAATGCCAGAGGATCTCATCACAGATGAAGAGACTTGAAACAACAGAAATGTGGTTCTACAGAAGGATGCTGAGAATAACATGGACTGAACGTGTGAGCAATGACAATGTTTTAGAGAAAATGGAAACAAAAAAAAAAAAAAAAGACACTTCAACTTAACATCATAGACAGTTGAAATTTCTAGGGTACATAATGAGGAAAGAAGGCTTAAAATATTTGACACTGACTGGATATATTGAAGGCAAGAAGGATAGAGGAAAGTAGTGAATAATGTACCTAAGAAACGTGTGTAAATGGTTGACAGAACAGGAATTAGAAGATAGTGAAAAGACAAAATTTACTAAGAGCTACATATATGTGGCATTCATTGGTTTCAAGAGACCATGGATCTGCACCCAAAATGTTACGCCTTAGCTGCTAATGGTGGTACAGCATCTGTTATGGCTGTAAGGAGTGACAGTCTCAATTGCAATGAATGCATGTGAAGACACTCTCCCTGGTTACAAACCTCCCTTTCTTCTTTCCTCGTCCCAGCCCTCAGTGTAAATTGCATTTCTAGCATGAGCGATTGTTGGCCACATCTTCCCACTTCTCGATTTCCACGTCCCTTTTGCAGACATCCTTGAAGTGAAGGTGAGGTTGCCCTCTTGCTGAATCCTATCAGTAGACTTTTGCTTCCCATGTTTTGATGTAGCAGTGAGGTGACACTGAAGTGTCCTCTCCAGGACACAGGCCTGGGCATGATTCTATGAGAAACTGGAAACTCCCTGCTACCAATATTGTCCAAGGGACAGGTAGTTGCCAGAACAAAGTTGAACATAACATCAGACTGTCTTAGGGACTCTGGCCCCAGATTTGTGCTCAGGGTTTACTCCCAAAACCATTTCCATGATTGTGTATGGCCACAAGGCAGCAGAGTTTGAAAATCAAAGTTTTCCTTCTCTTAGATGGACTACCCTCTCAAGCAGACAAGTTCCATTTACTCAAATAAGTGCTACAAAGGACAGGAAATTGTGGAGAATCATGATCACCCATGTTATGAAGGAACAACACAGAAGTTTATTCAATTTGTTCAGTATATTTTAAACTAACACTTGTTTTTTTTACCCAGTTCTAGCAGGAATTTGAACCTTGAATCACACGTTCACAACTACGGAGATAGAACAATGGTTGTCTTTGTCAGTTTAACACTAGGATTTAGTCTTCTCATGCCTCTGTGGCCCCATTATATGTTCCACCTGCATCTCACACCTCTCTACTGGCATCTAACTGTGTCTTGCATCTGCAGAATTTCCATTCCCCCCCCCCTCAAGACTTCTCAATTTAGTTGGCACACAAGGTTTATATAAGAATAAAATTCACTGGCTTGTTGACAATAATGTATTGGTATGATTTGACCATTAATTCCACAATCCGATGGCTTTTAGCTACTTGACTGTTTTTTTTCTCATTGACTTTCCCAAAAAACATTCTTTATGTAAGACCACCAGTGAATATGTCATTATGTAAACAGACTACACAACCCACTAGTTTCAACATTTTTTTTTTTTTTTTTAAGGAGTCTTTCATACAAATTAATTCTGCCTAAGAATCCACAAGCCAATGAACAAGTTTTCATGTAAACAACTTAGTATCAAGAAATGTTAGAAGTTTTATATTTTAGCCAAGAAAGTAATTTATTGTCATTATTTTTACCCAATTGAGTTAAGTACAGGATTGTACTCATAGATACTGAATTATATTCAAATTAATATTTGGGTTCAATTCCTTAAGTAGTTTTCAACCCATCTAATTTCCCAGAAATTAGATAACTTTGTTAATGAGTTATTATTTTCCCACATTTAATTCCAATAATCATGAAATGCAAAGAAGCTTTTTCAAGTTTCCTCCCTAGATCTATACCATAAACTAGGCCTTTCTATAATTAATTGTTCAACCATTGTTAAACTTCCTTGGTGCTTTATTGAGTGGGTTGCTATCCACTTTGTTACAGTGAATTCTTAGAGTCAAAATTAGAACTTACTATATATGAAGAACTTAATATGATGCATGTCAAGAATTATATCTAACATTTCATTGCATTAAGCACCATACATATTTAATGTAAGATTATAGCATGTATGTTATACATAATTCTTGACAAGTTTCACAATATGTTAAACAGTAAACTTACCTGCAATTTGGTGGTGGGTCCAGTGTGATTTCTGCTAATTCTTTTTGAATACTGTAAAGAATAATTTTTAATGTGTTTCAAAAACAAAAAGAAACATTCCAAAATTAGTTTTTATTTGTCATGAAAAACTCTTTACAACTTTAGTAATATAATTCATTCAACATATATGTACACAAAGAGTAATTAGAATTTTAGAATACTGTTCACTAGAAATGCAACAGATATCTTATTTCATTTGTAGATTTCAACTAAACACTTCTAGAATTAATAACAAGTAAAATAATTTTGCAAAGTTAAAATGTTCAGTTTATAGAATAAATGAAATATAAATTAAATAATATACAGGCAAATGTTTTGGAGATTAGAGACTTGTAAGTAGTACATATGTCCAAAATTTGGATTATGACAGCCTTAATTCTTTTAATATGTGAAATTCTGTGACAGCAATATAGAAGCTTAAGTCACGTGTTTTCTTATTTTTGTGTACTTAATAACAAAATAAGAGGTTCCCACTGACCGTTTTAAGCTAGTGCTCATAGCTTTCATATTTTTGGATGAAGTAGGTGGTGGTGGCGGTGGCGCCCGTGCAGGGGCCTGCGAATCTGTAGCGCTGGTACTGGCAGTCCCATCTTCACGGACAGAGGCAGTGCCTCTCCGACCTCGACCTCCTCCTCCGCGGCCGGTGGCAGCTGGGGCCACCACCGCCGCCGCCGAATTGTTACTACTCGAACCTCGATCACTGGACGACATCATCTATCCGTTTTGCGGAGGGGCAAATGGGGATTTTCGGCTGATTTTCAGTTTTTTAATTTTTTTGATTAACAATTCAAAGACGACTTCACCTGTGGATAATAAGTTTTAAATAAAAACAAAAGAGAAAACAATGTGAAACCAAATGTCAAATAATTTTTTCTGCTTTTTTTTTTAAAGTTTATCAATTCTGATCCGCTTCTAAATTTCATGGCGAAAAGAAATAAGGAACAAAGAAAGATTTATGAAGCGCTTTTTTATAATTTTTTTTTTTTTTAATTTTCAGTCAGTCATTAATAAAAAAAAAAAAAAAAAATACCTTTTTTTGTTTTTAAAGGAACGAAATTTAATTAAAGAGAAAACACTCACAAAAATTGATTTTAAAATTTTACAGATTTTCATTGTGCATAATTTTTACACTTTTTAAGTTTAAATGAAACATTTTCCAATACTATGTAAAATTCCTCAACAGATGGTAAGGTTACACAAAAATAACAGACATAAATTGAATTTTCTGTTTTTATTTTTTTTATTATTATTGTTCATAAAGAAAAACAGGTTTACATCGTGTGGTTTGGTTCCATTGGCTTTCTTTTAAGACCGCGCAAAAAAAAAAAAAAAAAAAAAAAAGAGAATATAATAGTATTATTATCAATTCTGTCAAAAGTTTGAAATAAAGCGTTATCGCAGTATGAGAGATAGTAAATAAAATCTTTATTTAATTTGTTTATAAGTACACGCGGAGAAAGGATAGGAAATAAACGGTGTGAACAATAAGTGACAACAACAAACATCGAAGCTTTTCTTTCTTCTCTGAACAACTTTAGTCCTCCATATTTTTACCTTTTAACAAAAATGACTCACACCATCCGCAAAGTATGGACACGATTTTCATTGTTACAGCTTTTTATAGGAAATAAAAGATTTATATCTAAGTTCTTTAAGTTTGTTTACATGTGAAGGCTAAACCTGTAAGTACGAAGATAGATAATAATAATACCAGCAACAATAAACATCGAACCTGTATCTTTTCTTTCTATCCTTTCTCCATAGTCCATATTATTTTATATCTCAATACAATGCTATTTTAGTGTTATAGCCTCATGTGGACATTTTGCAAGGCTTCTGGATGAAAATATTTATTTATTTTTTTATTATTATTATTATTTTACTTGTCAAAATACATGGTGGATGAAGGTAAATGTCACAAACAATAAACAACCAAGTTTCTTTCTCTCTCTCACTTTTAGTCTTTCCTCCATATTTTATATCTCAACATAAAAATGACTCACCCAGCATCTCGCCTAGATTTCTTTCCAAAGATTTTTCAAACAAACAAACAAGCAGTTTATTTACTTAAAAAACACAAAAACCAATCACTGAAACATCGAAATTAGAAACTATTTCTTTTATTTCTTTTTCGTTTTTAATTTTTTTTTTTTAAACAAAAGAAAAGGGGGAAAAGAGAGATGCGCAGATAAAGAGTTAAAAAGGCAAGAAGAGTTAGGAAGAAAAAGAGGTTTTGTTTGGATTTTTATTAAAATTTAAATAAATAACTAAATATTTCGTCAGGAAATTAAATTTTGCCTTTTTTAAAAAAAAAAAAGAAAAAAAACACATACGATATCGGATTTTTTTTTCCGTGTTTCAACAAAAATACAAATAATAAAGACAAATCATGACTAAATTTATTTCGAGACATTTTCTTAAAAATTATTTTAAAAATCGTAATGATCTTTATTTCATTAACCACAAAAAAAAATTTATGTCAAGAAAAAAAAAAAAAAAAATATTAAAGTGCATTTTTTGTCTCCTTGTGAAATTTCTAACCACATAACTTTGTTTCTAATGAACTAACTTATTAAAGAATAAAGATCTTCTTTATGCAAAAAGCACATCACTACCAGGGAATTTACCGGTTTGTTTAGGGGAAATTGATATATAAATTTTAAAACCATCCTCGGCGAATAGAAAGAAGCGGGTCGATTTTCGAATCAGCCTCACCGACCAACGTTCAGGAAATTCATCTCACAAATAAAATCGGAAGAATTATTTAAGGAAAAATAAGAAAAATTAAAAAAAAAAAAAAAAAAAAAAAAACACAGACCCCTTTTTAGTTTTTACAAACTTAAACCGGCGACTATTAAAAAGAAAATAAAAAATAAAACAAATCAGGATAATTTTCTTTTTTTTATCTATAAACATTGTTATTAACAACATACGAAAATTACCATACTTAACTTGGAACACACGCCAACAAAGAGAAACAAGAAACGAAAAAAAAAAGTTTTTTTTTCTCTCTCTTTTTCACCATCACTCCCAAATATCAGTCCCAGGGAATTAAAAATAAAAAGCATCAAAATTAATTGGAAGAATCTATTCATAACTTTACCTTTCACCTCGGACCACAGGAAAGGTCCTTCGGGGGAATATTTCGGTAAATTCCACGCTAAAACGTAAAAAAGTAATGAAGCAAAGTAGAGGAAAGCGTGCGGCCTGCCACTAAGACGAGGAACATGGCTCTTACATCGCCGTACTGTCCAGTTTGCTGACTAAATTGTGTAAATCAACAGAAAATTTCTCACACTGTCCTGCAGGGAATATTCCAGAAAGCACATCCAATCAACAAAACTTTTTCGAATTTTTTTCGTTAATTTTAGAACCGCCTGTTCGAAATATTAAAAATTTATCCACTGAACAAAGATAAAATTTCGGTGGGAGGTAAACAGAACATAACAGCTGGTTCAATGGACGATTTTATTCACGTCGGTGTTAGGGGGTGTCAGATTTAATAACAGTTTTGTGTTATGTGCTTTTAAACAAAAAACCTAGATATTTGTTAAAATTTATATATTTTTATATATAAAAAATATTTATAAAATATAATCTTTGCTTATTTATAGAACTTCTTTTATTTTATTACCATTATTTTATAGCCTGTCAACCCTTTTTCTGATGTTAGTGCATCATCGGACTTCCGGGGAGATGCTACATGAAAGGAATGCATCGTCTGAATAACTGTTCATTGTGACAGAAAAGTTGGAGAAGGATGCATGGATTGGAAAATATGAAATTAAATTACACCTGTAGCATCAATTTGACCAGCCGGTCTTTGAAATGTATTTATATAATACGCACCAGTTAAAAAGAATAAGCCATCTTCCTCCCTCCCAGCAGATTTATTTTCTACTTGTCGATTTTTTATGCAGATGTTGTGGTGGAGATAAACTTTATTACAACCACGAAAGATACGCAAATCAAAAATAACTTTTTTCTTCTTTTCTTTTTTTTCTCTTCTGGGAAAGAAAATGATATTGAGTTTTCAGACTAATTCAGCATACGTTACGTGTTTTCCAAAAATAAATGCCTATTTTATGATCATTTAACCAATTAAAGATCATTAAAAAAAAAAAAAAAAAAAAAAAAAAAGCTATATCAGTCACAACATAACACAGCCTCAAACAAAAAGGTTAGGACGTGGTGATGATGGCAATTGCTCAACAAATTATTTTTAATTTTATTTTTTGTATTTGCAAGCGCAAGGAGATTATTTATTGAAGAAATTTAAATGTTAAAACATTGTTTTCAAATAATTTTTTTTTTTAATTATTTAAAAAAAAAAACATGTTTTGCTCTATTTTTTTTTTTTTAAACATTCTCAGTTAAGAAGAGAATGTTTGTTTTAATTTAAAAATAGACGCACTTTTTCCGCTTAAAATAGATCTTTCTTTATCATACTTTTATTTTTTGGTATTCATTTTGAGAATTTGGCATGGTTATTTCATTACCAATTGATACATAATAAAGTTTGTTTGCTTTTTTGTTTTTCGCTAAAAAAAATTCAAACAAAACTTGTTATGTTTTAGTTTTAATTAAATAATAATTTCACTCGCATTATTCACTTTTTTTTTTTATGGAGTAATTCGCAAATTATTAAATATTATAAATATTCAGACTGGGTCAATCATTTATTTAATAATGTCAATGATGGAGGAAAAAAATTAACGCACTTTGATTCAAACTCACGACCCCTCAGCTGTTAGACCGGGTCATCAGGTGCAATCTATTTCGTTCGGGATTCGGACGATACAGGAACAACTAAGCATTATTATTATATTTTTTAGCTTCGTTTTGTTTTTAATGCTTGTTTTGTTTCTTCTTCTTTGCTTTGTTTTTACTTTGTGTTTTTTGTTCGTGTTTTTTTTTATTTTTTTACTTTTTCAAATCAATGTACTTGCGATATTTATTGGTTAGCAGGCCAAACAAACCACCTCGAGGTCTTTCGCAAAGTGATAGAGACTGATGAATGATGTCGTCTCCGTTCACACGCACTTGAAAAATTGATTTCAAAGCAAGGCATTTTTCTCAGCACTCACCAATGGTAGAGCAACAGAAATGTGGTTCAAAGGACAGCGATTCAATCTCACATGTAGTTAGTGGGTTGGGCTTCTGAGCAAAATTAACTTAAGGAAAGAAAAAATTCTTTAGTCTATTCAGAAATTTTTCACAACTTATAAAAAAAAAATATATGACAATGCTGATTGGGATAAAGTTTCCGAATAGTTTCTTTAAAAATGTTAATCAAGGAATATGAAGGATTTGTCTTATTTAATGTATCTATTGTTGGTAACAATTTCGATGAGATAGATCACCACTAAAAAGAGATTTCAAAAATATTTTCCAGAGTTATTTCTCGTAATAATTACACAGCATTGCCTCCTACCACTTGACATGACATTCATTCTTTTATTTTCCTCGTATCACTTTAAATTGATTTAACATGGATACATATCAAATTGGAAAGTTTAAATAACCATATTTTGTATATTTCAGCATAAATGAAATTCTTAATACAATCATAGATTTTGCAATGTTCCATATAAACGTACAACACATTTGACAAACATTTGAGGACTCATGGACAATTAGTTTTATTGTTATTATCATTTTATTGATTTTACATATAACGTTGGTATGTAGTGTAGTGGAAACATATGTAGCAG